AAGCTCATCCTAAAACTTAAATATCCACCGAAGGGCCTGGAAGATGGCTCGATGGACACAGCCCTTGCTATATGAGAAACAGAGTTATGATATCCAGAACCTCCCCCCTCCAAAAAAAAAACCCTCCAGGTATGGTGTCTGCTTATAATCCCAGCCCCGTGGGGTGGAAGAGAAAGAAATGAAGCATCCTTAGGATGAGCTGGCTAGGCAGGGGAGCTGAAATTCGAAAGCTCTAGGTTCAGTGAGAGACCCTGCCTCAGTCTATAAAGTGGAGTGTGATTAAGAAAGATACACAGTGTCTACTTGGGAAAATCCACATGCAGTCATACACTCGAACACACATATATGCATGCACACCACACTCATACATGCATAAAAGGTCCACTATACTTTCGTGCACTAGAAATGAGAAATTCCAAAATGAAATGAAGAATTTGATTTGAGATAGTATTAAAAAGAACTCTTAATAATAAAACAGTTCAAAACTTAAACCCGAAAGCCCACAGCACTTTGTTAAAAGAAATTAAGACCTAAATAACCAGAAAGACCCTCCATTTTCATAGGTGGAAGAATGAATATTATTGACACTGCAATATCTCCAAATTGGCAATCAGATTTAATAAAACCATTGATTACATGCCAGCAGGATGTTCTTTCTGTGGAAATTGATAGGCTAATCATAAAATTCATAAGGAAATTCACCCCAGTTAGTTATAGTGTATAATTCTTAAATATGCTGTTTAGTTTGCTATCTGTCATCAAGGATTTTATTTTTTGAGACAGTGTCTTGCTATATAGCTCAAATTGGCATTGAACTCATGATCTTCCTGTCCCCCCACCTCCTAAGTGTTTGTGTACCACCGTACATGCTTTTTTTCCAAAAAGGATTTTTCTGTTAATATTCTGAAAGGGTTCTCTCTTTTTATTGTCTTTGGTTTTGGTATCAAGGAAAGGCTGACTTAAAAGAATAAGTTTTCAAAAAAGTTTGATAGTGTACACTGGTAATAACAAACCCTTAAAAAGCTATAGTAATTGAGAGAATGTGGCACTGAGGTAAGGAAATGAGGTCAATTAACAGTCTAGACTAAAATGTTAAATTTAGGGCTAATTGATTTCTGACAATGTTGCCAAGATTGTTCAATATAGAATGGATGTTCTTTGCAATAAATAGTGGGAGACAGCTGTATATCCATCCACAAAATGAACTTGGACACTTTATACAAAAGATGAACTCAAAATAGATCATACACATAAACATAGGACCTGTAACTCCCTCACTGTCTGAAAGAAAATAGGAGTAAATCTTCAATGATCATAACAATGACTTCACAAGCAACAAAAGTAAGAATAAGTAAGTCCAACTTGATCAGCTATCCAGAAAATTTCTGCTTTATATGACAGCAACCAAAAGGAAAAAGATAGTTCATAGAATGAAAATATTTGCTAATCATTTATCTGCTATTTGTATGAAGGATATGTAAGAAGCTTGCATCTATCAAATAAAAAGATAATCCAATCATAAAATGGCCTAGTATTTGGGGAGACAAATCTCCAAAGAAGATACACATGAGGCTAAGGCACAGGAAAAGATAGTTAGCGTCATTAATCATTCATGAGATACAAATCTAAACCATAATGAGATACTATTTCATACTCATTAGTGTGTCTGATATCAGAATGATGGATAATAATGACATTGGCAAAGAATGTGAAAAAAATCAGAACCCTCATGTTTTGATTATGGGAAGGTAGAGGGATTCAGCCATTTAGAAAATAGCTTTAACAATCTTTCAACATGTTAAACACAAGGTTACCATACAGTCCAGCAATTATGTGGAGATATATGAGCCCAGGAGAACCGAGAACAGGTTTACAGAAAGCAGTGTGTACAAATGTTCATGGTCACACCTTTCCTATCAACATAAAGAAATAATCCTAGCGCCCATCAGCTAATGAGTGGACAAACAAAACATAGCATATCTAGACAGTGAGCTTCTCTGCGGTGAGAAATGAATTAGTGATATCTACTACAATGTATGTTTGTGGGTGACCCTCACAAACATCATCTTACATTACAGGTGTCAGTCACTAAAGAACAGATATTGTGTGACCCTATCCATGTGAAATGTGTAGTATCAACAAAACTGTGGAGACAGAAAATAGATTAGCGAATGCCTGGGACTAAGGCCAAGTGTGTGAGAGAAATGGTTTGGCTGATAATGGCCAAGAAATTTTTTTTTTTGAGGTGGCAACATTTGGTAAAGATGGACTGAAGTAATGGGTGCACATCTCTGTGAACACACTGCAAACCATTTAATTCTACATGCCAAATAAGTGAGGTTTTTGAAAGTGAATTGTATCTCAATTAACTCCTCAGCAAAAAGATCAAGGGTGCTGCTCAGTGGTCGAGCAGTCACCCAGCCCCAGGCCCCACGTTCCATTTCCAGAATTGCAAAAAAAAAAAAAAAAAAGGAAAAAATTAAACATGAAATTATCAGTTTGATCTTAGAACTTTAACCAAGAAAAGGAAAAATGTTTATTCAATATTTTCCTTTTGCAAATATTCTTTGAAGGTTTATTTGTATCAATCCCAAACTTGAGATCATCTATCTGCTTGTCAGTCAGACAAGTTATAAACAAGATGCTGCATATCTGTACGAAGGAGCAAGGAGTAATACTCCACAGTGAAAGGGAAGGGTCTATGGTGGCGAAAGCTGCACTGTGAAAAACCCAAGTCAGGGCCAGCCTGGTTTGCTTTCATTTGTATGGGAAACAAAGCAACAGAGCCAGGAAGCAGATAAGCCAGGCTGAGACCCCATCGGAGGCAGCAGAGGTGAGAAACTGTTGGGAGGACTGGCTGGACACCTGCTGGGTATTAGACTGCTTTTCAGAGCTGCTACTGGGTGAACAGGCATGTAAGACTTTTCTTTTTCTTTTGTTACATATATTTGTAGAATTTGCTAAATGGGTGTTTAGTATAATAATGAAAAGGCAAAGATGGGCTTATCGGCTTGATTCTGACAGCATGAACACAGGATACATATCTTAGAAACTATTGAAAAATTACTTCTGAAATGAGTTAGAAGAAGGCTGAAGGGATGGTAGAGGGGATAAAACTCTGAATCTTTTCATATACTTTTGGGTTTTGAGTTATAGTAGTGATGTTTAGTGTTTAAACAGTTATTTGAAGGCTTATGAACACATAATTGTTATGGCATGTTAGTGGGTCCAGAGCTGCAGGCAAACCACTCCATCTGCTATGTTAAATATTTATTTTTTATTATTTTAAATTGTGTGTGTGTGTGAACGCATGAATGTAGATGCTGTCTTATTTAGGGTTGCTGTTATAAAACACTATGACTGAAAGCAACTCGTGGAGGAAATGGTTTATTTCAGTTTACAGTTCCACATCATAATCCATCACCGAAGGAAATGAGGGGAGGAACTAGAGCAGGACAGAAACCTGGAGGCAGGAGCTGAAGCAGAGGCCATGGCAAGTGCTGCTTACTGGCTTGCCCACTGTGGCTGGCTCAACCTGCTTCCTTATAGCACCAAACACCACCAAGTGGCACCATCCGCAGTGCCGTCTGTGGGTATTCCCTTACAAAACATCACTCAAGAAGTTACCCCGCCGGCTTGTCCATAGCTCAATCTGGTGTGTGTGTGTGGGGCGGGGGGGGGGGGATTTTCTCAGTTGAGGTTTCCTCTTCTCAGTAAAGTTTATGTCAAATTGACATACAATTAGCCAGCATGGTTGCCCTTCAAGATCAGAGGTGTTGGGTTCCCTTGAGGTGGAGTTACAGGTGGTTATGAGTGGCTGATGTAGGTGCAGGGAGCTGAAGTCCCTTGGAAGAGCAGCAAGTGCTCTTAATCTCTGAGCTGAGCTATCTTGCCAGCTCCACCCCATACCTGCTGTTTTAGACTGTGGTCATGTGATTAGTGTTGATCCAAGGTCTTCTGGAACAGCTTTTCTTCCTTCCTTCCTTCCTTCCTTCCTTCCTTCCTTTTCCTTCCTCCCTTCCTCCCTCCCTCCCTTCCCTTTTCTTTTTTCGAGACAGGATTTCTCTTTAGCTTTGGAGCCTGTCCTGGAACTAGCTCTTGAAGACCAGGCTGGCTTTGAACTCACAGAGATCCGCCTGCCTCTGCCTCCCAAGTGCTGGGATTAAAGGTGTGTGCCACCACTGCCCGGCTGGAACAGCTTTTCTTAAGCCAGTAATGGCTTCCTGGCTTCCCTGCTATGCTCTTCATCTTTGTTTTGGCAGCCATTCTGAGACTGGTGGATACACACAATTTCTGAGTACCCCATGGGATACAACTACTTTTGCACACCACACACACGCACACACACTTTATGGTTTTGGATCAAATTTTAGTCCTCATGTTCTCAAAGCAAGTACTTTACTGGCTAAACCATCTTCTCCTCAGGCCCTGGTCTACTTTTCAATGATTGAGTTATTTGCATAGTGAGAACAGACAAAAAAAATTACAACTATCTGTAAGGAGCATTTGCTTCTTTGGGCAGTTTGGGGGAAACAGTTTCATTTCCTCCTGCACATAAAATGAAATAACTATGACACTGGTCTGAATGGATATCTAAAGGGTTCAGCTGTTTCAGTCATCATTGTTTCTTTTGATTTGTAAAATATTTTTATTTCATTTTAAAATTTTACTTAGCTTTGCTTAAGATAGAGAGCCACCCTGAGACTTTCTGTCTATTCGCTAGGTATCCCCTTTTTATCTTGCCTGGGGATTTTACTGGAGATAGTTTATCCTCATCTCCTAAGTCCCCTCTTTTCTGAGATGTCATAAGGAAGAAGTCTTCAAACACCTCTTTTCCCTCTGCACTCTGACCCCGGAAGTTGAAAGAGGTCATTGTCACATCATCACTCGTCAACCAATCAGGGTGGGGGGCTCCCTTCGACTACCTTCCTATTCCATAGAAGTTCTCAGGCAGCTTCAATGGAAGGAGGGAGCCAAGAAGGCCCTCTGTAAATCTCAAGATGATCATTACAACATGGATTGTGTACATCTTTACCCGGAAAAGTGTAGGGCTACCCTTCCCACCAAAGGCAAACTCAGTGAGTGGTGGTGGCGGCCACATGGAACTGGGATATTCCATCTTCTCTCCACTGCGGTTCTGGTGTGCTTCACAGACACCCCACAACATGTCACAGTGGATAGCAGCAGGAGTGGCGGGTGGGTCTCTAGGGTTTCTGAGGTCATCATCTTAACCAATTTGTTTCAGGACATTGAAGTTGTGGAAAGTGAAGCTGTATCCGTAGTGCAGCATTGGTTGAACAAAGTGAGTAGAATTCTTCTATGACTCAGTGCCTCAAGTTATAGAGTGCAGTTATCACTAGGGGGCAGGAACCAGGGCTCCACTCTCTATATACTGAGAAACTCAAGTTTGTGTCTAGAGTTGACTTTAATTCATTCTAATGTCTGAGAGGATGTGGGGTTTTGTGTTGGCATCACTGCTCACCGACTTATCAAACACCCTAAAGGAGGGAATTCTACTCAAGGCGGTCCCCCAAGTACTTTGGAATAGGGCCGAGGGCTTCGGGGAGGTCCCAAAGGTTCGGAGGGGAATAGCAATGGAGGAGCTTTGTGTAGAAGCTGGGAGGAATGGAGCGAGAGTGGTTTGTGTGTGTGTGTGTGTGTGTGTGTGTGTGTGTGTGAATGTGCGTGTGTGAGTGTGTGTGTTTGTGTTGCGATGGGAGGGGCACAAGGGAAGGAAGAAGAGAGGGGGCCTGGAAAGCAATCAGATGCAGCCTGGCACTTCAAGAGGGAAACTATTCACCTTCACCTTCCAGACAGAAGAGGAGGCTTCTCGGAACATAAAGGAGAAGATGTCTTCCAACATCCCTCCCACTCACGGACACGACATACATGTGACCAGAGATTTGGTAACTGAGAGTTTGTGGGGAAGTGGGGGTGACAATGTGTGGTGAGGGATTTTGGGCAAAGGGCACATCCCAGCTGTGGGCATCCACACTGACTGGTAACCACACGTATTCAATCTTGATTTCCCAGGTGAAGCACCAACTCTCCAAGTCTGATATGTTAGCAGACCCTAATCAGGAAGTCCTGGAGGAGAGAACGAGGATCCAGTTTATAAGATGGAGGTATAGTACCCAGGGAGCAGGGCAGCCTCCTGAGCAGGTGCATTAGTTCTAGAGAAACCACCTCTGCTGGCAGAGAAATTCCTCAGTCATGCTTTGGCGACTTACGGCAAGAGTCTTGCTATCTGGAAAGCTTAGCTCCTTCGTACGTTTTTAAATGACCTCAGCAGCTGGGGAACTGGTCTTGCTCTCCATTTTCCTAAATGCTTCTGAATATGTTTCGGATTCTTGTTCTTTTTGCTCTTGAATTGTTCAGAAGTGGCAGCACTTGAAAGCGCCGAAAGAAAATAGCTCTTAAAACGCAAAAGCCAAAGCGCTCATCTGCGACTCTGCAGTGCGGAGAGCCTGGCAGTGCGGAGGTCTCCGGGCACCGGAGGCAAGAACTTTGTGACAAAGCTACGTTGTCACCTTCCTGCCACCTTGGTGCAGCCCGTGTCCTCACAAGCCTTACTTGGTCCCGAAGATGCTGTAACTCCAGGTGTGGGGCATGGGTGGGGGTGGGGTGCTGAAGTCACCCCACTCCTGCAGAGGCATCCCAGTTTTGTTCCCTGAGTCCATCAGGGCCAGATCATCACATCCTTCCTCGAGCTAGTCCATGTGTGACCTCTGTCCCCTCTGGTCATGTTGTCCACTTTGCTCTTCTCTTGGGGAAACTGCGTTCCTCAGCAAGCTTAGTTTTGCTTCAGGGTTCAGGTATTCGTGAGTTTACTTTGCCAGTGACAACGTATTGTAGAGTGTTTGAATATGTACTGACTCCTCTAGCGAGGAACAACCAATGGTGGGATTTCAGAGCCCCCAGAGAAGAGATTTTTCCCTAGAAATGCATTGAGCTCCTCAGCATTACTGACTTCAATCCCAGCTTCTCCTTGCTTGAATTGGACTCTGGAGTTACAAACATTACTCTCCTCGGTTTGGACCAACCTCATCTTCTAATATTGCTTTAATCTTGGCTATACAATTAGTTTAAGATTTCCGAGGCAGGCGTGAAGCATCAGTTGTTTCTCTCCGTGTTATTTCTCCACTCTGAATTTTCAGTGGAGATTGGAAGTGAACGATCTGTTCTTTCCCAGAATGTACTGATTCCGGGGTTTTCTTAATAGCTCTGGTAGCAGGTGGTCAGGTGCTAACTTTGTGTGAGGCAACACTGGCTTTTCATTCTTTCAGTAGGTGTGCATGCATCAGCCTGTGCTTGCTAACTGGTCTGGAGGAGGCGAAAGAGCCGAGTACAGCCCCACTTTCCATGGATGTATACATTGAGCAGACAGTAGGGTGTGGGAGTTAGTGTTAGGGAAGCCTGGAGGAAGGTCTGAGGGCACAACCTGAGACTCAGGCTGCACATTTATTAGGCATTGCTGCCAGATCATCTCAGGAAGCTCAGAGTGGCTCTTTGATAGGGTACTATTATCTGATTAACAGGAAACTGAGGAGAAAAAGAGAGCCCTGTAGCCTGGGCATCCCAGTGCCGAGGCTCCTGTTTTCGGAGGGTCCCCTTCCCCTTAGGTTGGGGACCGTTAGCTTTAACTGCTTTATCTCCTACGGGCTCCAACTGGTTCCTCCTGGTAGGAGCCACAGTCACAATCATATCCCCATCTCTCTGTGGGCAGAGGGGGAGGCCAGACAGAATTTGGGCCTCAACCATAAGGGCACCACAGCCAAAGAAGTGGGTATTTCATGGGCACTATGGGACTGGAGGGAAGGAGTGGGAAATGGCATGAGAAAAGACAGGAAGCAGACTAGAGAAGGAAAGGCAATGTCAGCATAGAGAAAGAATGCAAACAGTGACCTGTGTCATGGGACCAATCCTAAGAGTGTATAATGAAATGAGAGAGGAATTTGGAGTGGGGAGTGCTGCGCTTCAATTACCCTGCCGGTGGCCAGCTTCTCTTTCCCTGTATCCTTGGAGCCATAGGCTGTCTTCACACAATGGCTAGGTGACTGGGAGGTCCTTTGTTATTTAAGAAACGGAAGAGTGGGGGTGGGTTCTTAGGTGCATGCATCTGGAGTCCCTGCTACTGTTCTGGTAGTCCCGATTCCAGTAGCCTTGCTAGACTCAGCTGTTATGAAAAGCAGCTGAGGATCCCATGGTGCAATGGTGTTTTCCAGCCACACCCGTATCTTCCAAGTGCCAAGCGAAATGATAGAAGATGTCATGCAGGATCGCATAGATCAAGTGAGACAAAGGTAAGTTCTCGTGACAAATTGCCTTGTGTTCCTACCTGGGTACACGTGGGTGGGGATGATGTCAGTCAGCTGCCCATCCCAATCATCTGGTGGCTCTAACTTGAGTGGGGGCATTAAGTTCCAAGGGCTTCTTTCCTTTGTGGTCCACATTACGGTGGCCTTATCAACCTCCCATGGTACCCCCCTGCCATGACTCCAGGCTGAGGGCTTCCTTCCTGGACTTCAGTTCTGAAATTTACACACGATGATGGCTCAGGACCGTGCTTCCCACCCGGCCCATGCCCTGTGCCGCCGTTAAGGTATTGGGTCTAGGTAGGTTCTGGTGGTAGGCTATTTTCCATCTTGCTGTTCTCCTCTGCCCTCTGCAGCATATCTCACCTCAGGTGTGACTCATCTGATGACCCAAGCTTCAAAGTGTCTTGCTCAGAATGCTAAGGTGAGGAGACCCATAGGTAAGGGTCTGGGTGGCTAGGGCGGCTAGCCTTGGTAGTGGAAGGGAGACCTAGCATGGGGAGCTTTTCGTTTTCCTGAGTGAGGAGTCTGCACTCAGAAGCAGTGAGGGCAGGGACAAGTAGATGTTGCTGTCCTAACTCTACTTTGATATATAGGATCTCAGTAGGCGTGAGGGCGTACAGAATTTGAACCTGCTACCGGCAAGGGACTTTTGGCCTTACATCCGCTACTTGGACTTTGCACAATGCAGTTGGCCATAACTGAATGTTGTTCAGTTCTAGAAAGTGAAAGGCTGGAGGTGGAACCATTCCAATACAAGGAGCATGCCTGAAACAGTCACCGTGCCCTATCCAAGAGAGATGGCCCGGGTAGCTGCTATGGGGGTGGGGTGAAAGACATGATTGACACGTAGCTGGAAGCTACATGCTTAAAAAGCATCAGGAAATGCAATGTTAGCATTTATTAAGTGCTCTCTGTATGCCAGAGTCTGCACAGGACATGTTTTGTCCAGGGTTCTCATTGATCCAGAAAGTAGAGGACTTGTAAGTGAAGATGGGGAACAGACACTGGCTTCAACTGGCTGCACATTTTCATGAGGGCTCACTGAGCGCATCTCTGATTTCTAGGTTGAAGGCCGCCCAAGTCCATTAACAGCCCGTGTCCAAAGATGTCCACCTCATGTTTGACCTGAAGAGTGACCAGACTTGAGCAGAAAGACTATAGAGGTTGAGCCCGTGGTTACCACCATGATGACACTGGAATCTTCTTGCTGAAGTGTTAATAAAGAGACATCTTATCTACCAACCAGCCCTGATGTTGGTGTGGATGGTTTGCCGTTCCTTCCTCTTTCTCTCCTTCCTTCCCTCCCTCACTCCTTCCGTTCCTCCCTCCCTCAATTATCCATGCATCCATCTGTGCATCCATCTATCTGTGCATTCATCCATGCATCCATCCATGCATCAATCCATGCACCCATCCATCATCCATCATCCATCCATCCATCCATCCATCCAATTTTAGGTGCCTTGCAGGCCTGATGCTGGAGGCACATAGCTACCTGCTATTCCACTGCCATGTGTTGCAGTCAGTGCAGGGGATCCCAGCATTTTTGAAGGGGTGCTGGTGTGGACTGGGACGGGGGTTGGGCGGGTGAGGTGGATTTTCTGCAGGAGTTCTGGGGATTCCTGTATTTTATGCCCACTCATTGCTGCTTTAGCATCTTCCTTTATGTGGCTCTCAGTTTCTGGCCTGCATCCTTTTCTTTTCTCTCAGACTAACTTTAAATATTTCCTGCTAGACAGCTGAAGATTCTCTTCTGTTTTTGAGTGTGAGGAAGTCGTTATTTTTCCTTTTAGAAGGATGGCTGTGCAGGCTCCTGAATGCTGCTGGTGTTTCCATCCTTTCAGAATTTGCGTATTTCATTCTGCTCTCGCTCCACGGTTTCTGTACGGAGTTCTCAGCCTTGCTTGTTATAGACAGCGAGTTTTCTCTACTCTGTCTTTTTCACCACGTTTTTTTTTTTTAAGATTTTTTTTGCATTCACTGTGTTAAGTGCTGAGTTTTGTAAGGCCTTTTCCACACAAGTTTTAAGGCATTTTGAGCACATTATCCCATTTCCTTTTCTCTCCCTTCTTTACTTCTGTGAGTCCCTTTCAGTCTTTTAGACAATTTTACTTCTATTTTTTGTGTTATATGCACATTCATGTATCTATATAAAATCTAGAATTCAGAAAGGAAAGGGAAATATGCAATGTCTGTCTTTCTGAGACAGAATTAATCTGCTTAATATGGTAATAGCCCGTTGCAACCATTTTCTTGCAAGTGACATAATTATGTTCTTTCTGCCTGAATAAACTCCCATTGGGCATATTTACCACATCTTCTCTACCCCTTCCTTTGCTGACAGACCTCTATGTTGACTGGTTCCTGTATCCTGGACTTTGAATCTTTGAAGATGGTATGAATAGGCAAGGACCTTTCTTTTTCCCCTGTGCTTGGAATTCTTTGCGATCTCTGGAGGAGTTGTTGGGTGCCTGTCCTGAGTTTTGGGACGGTCTTACCTGTTACCACTCCAAATACTTCTGTGGCCTTTTCTTCTGTGCCCTTGATCATCCCATTACACACGCACTACAGAAATGTTTGGTGACTGACATGTAGCTCTTGGACATTCTGACCCCAGCTCCTATATGGTTCTTTGTTTGCTTTCTGTTGCTATTTCTTGCTTTTCATTGGTGATGGGAGCTGAACCCATGGCCTCATGCATACCGAGTGTACAAAGTGCCACTGAGTTACACACTTGGCCTGTATAATGTTATCTATTCATTGGTGTCTGTGTGTGTGAGTGTGCGGGATCTTCCCGTCTCCACTTCCCCTGCACTAAGAGTATAAGCCACCACATCTTGTTGTCTATAGAGGTGCTGGGGACTCAGCTCAGTTCCTCATGCTTACAGAGTCAGCTCTTAGAGCAGATCACCCTTCCCAGCCCCTGCTGTTATTTCTTGAGACTCACGGATGCTTTGCTAACATTGTCAGTCTGCTGATGAGCCCTTCAAAGACATTCTCACTTCTGTGTTGTATTTTCTTTTGGACCTTTCCCTTAGACTTTTCCTTAGTGTTTCCATCTTTCTGTTTATATTGCCCATCTGTTCCTACATGCCCATGTGTTCCCATAGAGCCCTTGGTATATTTATGGAAGTTGTTTTAAATTCCTGGCCTGATTATTTGCACACACCTGCTTCACACAAGTCTGATTCCGATAGCTGCTGTGTTCCTCCAGAATCTATGGATTTTATTAATTGCATGTCTTGAAATTGTTTAATGGCAGGCAGACATGATGGATTAGACCAAGGGACTGAGGAAAGCAGGTCTTTAGTGCCAGGCTTTCTGCTTATCTGGTCAGGGGTAGCCTGTGTATGTTATCTCTTCTGAGGGTTTCCTTAGCTACTCCTTCGCAGACAGAACCTGAGGACTACAGTCTTTCAGCTGTCCTCTCTGTCGCCACGCAGGAAACTCCTGTGATGTGTGTGAGGAGGGACGTCCAGGCAGCCCTGTGATGAGGCCTCGTATTCACTGAGCCTGTTCCCTGGGCTATGACCTTCCCAACGGCTTCTTGGTTCTTCCATTGTCACTGTCTAAAGACTGGAAGTCTGGAGGGAGTGTGTGTGGAGTTGGTCATTCCTCATCTCCTCACCTGGCTTGATTCTAGAGAAATTATTGCCATGAAGGCAAGCTTCTGTGGAGAAAAAGACAACATTGTGGGCCAAACAACATCACCCTCTCCCTCTCTTGGAAGGGTAAAGAAGTTTGGCTTTGTTCTTCACGGGGAAAGATCTGGGGACAGTGTGGATGGAAGGACATGGAGTGAAGGTTCACGTCTGTGATGTTCTCTATAGTGGGCCCTCAGACTGAATGTGGTCAGGATCAATCCTACTCCACCTCCAGACAGTCTGCTACAGGGGAGGTTTTCCTGCTTCATCTCTGGTTCCAAGGAGGCTCTGGACAAGTTTGTCCATTCAACCTGCACGTTAGTGGGGAATCTGAGATGAGGCCTTTCTTTCTTTCTTTCTTTCTTTCTTTCTTTCTTTCTTTCTTTTTCTGTCTTTCTTTCTCTTTATCTCTCTCTTTCTGTCTGTCTTTCTTTTTCCTTTCTCCCTTTCCTCCTCCTCTTCTTCCTTGTCTTTGTCTTTTAATTTTTCCTTTTAAAGCAAGGTCCCATGTAGTCCAGACTTGCTTCATATTCACTATGTGGCCAAGAATGACCGCGAATTCCCCATTCTTGGTCTTTAGGCCTATACCTCCCAAATATTAAGATTATGGGCCTGTGCCACTGAGCCCAGTTGTTGACTTTTAGTTCATTTGCAAGACCAAGTTCTAACACCCCCTGTTGCCACAATGGCTTTATCCAAAGAACTTGAGCTCCGGTGGGACAGGGAGAGGAAGAGCCAATAGGAGTTGCCTAGTCAGGGGCAGGAAGGCAGTGTGCTGGGCTGGGGAGTGGGGAGGCACATATATAGGAAGGGAAGGATGGGGAGCTGAGGGCTACTCAGGCTGGAGCTGGCTGCAGAGCCCGGGAAGATCTCACCTCCAAAAACAGCCGTGGTAGCCATGCAAGTTGATACAGTGTCCCCGGCGGCTCGTGCTGCATTGTGGGCTAGTGGGAAGTAGGAGATGGAGCTCAGAAGGAGGGACAGATACTGTCCAGGAGTCTTCCCACAATGGTCCCTCCCTTCCTTCCTCCTGTCCATCATGAAGTTGTGTGTGTGTGTGTGTGTGTGTGTGTGTTTCCCACCCTCCTGGACTCCATGCTCAGCCTCCTGACCCAGAGATGGTGGAGCCGCATACGCAGGATCTGAAGCCTGTTAAAGGTGTGCCTAAAGAAATACTCTCTCCGTTTAAGTTGTTAGTCTTAGATGTTTGTCACAGTGGGTAAACACATGGGGGCAGAGGGTGATTTTGCATGTGGAGATGTCTGTGGCAGACATTGCAGTGGGCAGGAAGGTACTTCCTGTGCCCCTTGGGCAGGGACAGGGAGTGGAGTGGCGGAGAAAACAGTGGATTGAGGCAGACCTGGTGCTTGAACCATGTTCAGTGGGAGAAGAGTCTGGAGGAGTCAAGGAGAGCAGCCAGGCTGGGTGGCCAGTTCAATGGACCCTGATGTTGAGTCCCTTCCAGTGGTACAGACACAGGGCGAGCAGGGATGCACACACGAGTTAGGTGGAATGTGTTGCACTTAGGAGGGGTGCTGTCAGGCAAGGGCTCAGCACATCCAGGGGAGAGCATAGCGCTCTGGGGAGAGGCCTGCTAACCCACTGTCCTTTCCTTTGTGAGAGACCATTTTCCTCACAACCACTAGATGGCACCATTTCCACACAAACGACATTTCCTGAAGGTGACCTGGTCTTTTTCTAAGACCCCTAGCAGGGCTTGGAGTAGATTTTTAGCACTGTTTGGGAAGCTTTGAGATGAGATAGCTTTAAATATCTTTATTTAGTTATGGAAACAGTTTACATTCACACACATAAAATGGTATCGAGGCAATTCATTCAAATAAAATGCTCTGAGCACTTATATTCGATACTCTGCGAATATGGGATGCCCGGTGAATAGTCTATCCCGGAGAGCTCCGAGGGGCAGAGAGGCTGCCGTGCACGCTGGTTCTGAAATATGGTGTGAAAATAAGCTAACAGTGCATGCACGGTGGAGCAGGGGTTGGGTGGGTTTCTCTTCTAGGAAGGAAAAGCTTGTTGTCACCGGAGGGAGGAACTGTTTAGACAGAGGACGGAGGCGTTCTCAGTCCCTGACATTGAAGGAGAGGTCTGCTAGGTATGAGTGCCACTCCCGAGGCCTGGACGATGTTCGGGTGCCACTCCCGAGGCCTGGAAGGTGCTCGGGTGCCACTCCCGAGGCCCGGACAATGTTCGGGGAACCGGCCCTGACTCCGAGTGTCTGGAATGAGGAAGGGAGTAGGTCGGGCTGATGGAAGAACCTGTTATGGGGGACTGGGTACAAACCCTGCAGGTGGATGTTGAAATGACTCCCTAAGACAGGTGTCCAAGTGTGAGGAGATAAGCCTAGGAAAAGAGAGGCCCCCATCTGTGCTCTGCAGCTCTGGCTGGGAGGGGATGGCTCGTGTCTCTCACACACAGACATCTGCAGTATACGGAACGAGGGAGCCACATTAGTATTATAGACACAGCGCCTTCCAACCCGGGGTGGAAATGAAATCATTTAGTGGCTC